CTGAGAGAGGGTGAATTTCCCAGAAGATCGCTTCATGCTGGCTCAATAGAAATACCCCAGGTGGATAACTTTAGCAATCAGGAGCTACTCAGTTGCTCACAGCAAACTCCACGACAGAGTTTACAGAGATTTATAGCTAGAAAAACCATACTATGTAATTTACCACACCACACTTATCCATTCCTTCTTAATAAGACAGAAAAATGTTATGATAAGGCCATGAATGGAGAAAGCTGCAGGTATGTGGAAGAGTGGTTTTTACTAAAAATGGAGGGGTAGGGAGGTAGGAGGAAGGACCCAGTCTGAAAATTTTGTCTGGTTCACAATTTAGCCAAAGCAAACCTTGGAGAAGATATCCTCCCACAGTGTTCAAAATCTGTGATTATTAGGCATTAGTGATTTTAGCAGAGACAATGAATGAAAATGTTCCTTGGACTCATACAAGCTTATAAAACTCAAAGACAGCTTACCATTAGAGCTTTCTTCTTTAATTTTATAGACAAGAAAATGAGACTAACCAAGAGGTAATAGATTCATAGTCACACTGCCAGTTTAGTTGGCAGAGCCAGAACTGAAACCCAGAGTTCCAAATACCTGATTAAATGTTTCACATGAACTTCAGTCCCTATTTCTACTACCCATATCATTTCACAACAGAGGGGGTCTTTGTATTGATATATGAATTGAAAAGGACATATATAGGTGTATCTGGCCATTTATGTGTTGGTATAAATAATGCCTCACAGGACAAAATATTCTGTTCTTCCTTACTTAAAGATAAAATAAAAATAAATTCTTTTCTTGAAAAGGGCTCATAGCTTGGAAGTCAAACTAGAATTGTCATATTCCAGAACTAATTGTGGTCTCTTCTAGAGGACATTAGCTCAGATGTGTCTAGACTCACAGGTGATATACTGAAGATAATTCTGAAGCGCCACAGCAATAGAAGTAGTTTCTTCCTTTTATGTAAACTATTTCTAAAATACTCATTGGCCATTCTTTCCCAGGCATCATGCTAATCTCCTTTGTAGTTGAGAAGCTACAGGAGTAAACTTGAGGTGCAGCCATGTTCTTCCCACTTTTCCAGAACAGGGAATAGAGGAGGTGTTGCCTGAG